TGAGGGCCATTTTTTCTTTTCTTTTGAGGCCATATTTATTTTAAATTGTATACTCTTTTTCCAATCACAGAGATAATGCATGCTGGTAAAAAGTGCAGTTTCCTTTCATTCTGCCTCCTGTTCCCACTCTAAGAGGGAGCCCCTCCCCACCCTGCACGGAATGTTGGTCAAGGGTTTATCAAAATGGGATTATATTAATTCATTATTCCGGATCTTGCTTTTTTTCCAAAATGACATTACGCACAGAGCTACATAATTCCATTGAAAAGGCCCTGTTGCATTCTAGTGGCTTCTTTTACGAACCAGGATGTGGTGTTGCATGCCCACCTTGTGCGGGCTCTGCCTAACTCTGCCCCTGCCAGGTGTCTGTGAGCCCATGGATGTTTTTCCTCTTTCCATTTCTGTCCTCCATGCTTTGGTTCTGTGCATGTTTATTCATTCATCATGAGTCTGTTGAAGTCAGGATTGCCCTGGGGGGCCAGGCCCTTGTCTCTTTTAGCCCCATTCCACAGACAGGGGAACTGAAGTCCAGAAAGGTAAAGTCATCTGCCCAATGTCACTCCACTACTGAGTGACAGAGCTCAGAATGGCCCCAGCATCTCCCTACCTCTAAGCTCACCTTACTGCCATTGGGGCTTACTATCCACCTGTCCGGGGTCCCCCACAAGTGGTTTGGGAAACCCCATCTGATAATCCCGTGCTTGGCAGCGCATATGTTACCTCCCCTGCTTGATGGATGGAGAAAACAAGGTGCCAAGAGGGGAAGACATCCTAGCTCTTGGTCAGCGCCCCACTCCCCTGCTGGCTGTAGTAATGAATGGCCAGGACAAGGGGGTATCTGGTCCACAGCCAGAGCCCTGCCCTCTGGCTGGGGGCGGTCCGTAGTCAGTGCAGTGGGAGGCATCCGGGGCAGGCAGAGGCCTGGGGTCGCATACCCCTTGGCACCTGGAATTAGCTCTTTTACACAATGTGGGCACAGCTATGACAGTTCTCTGCTCCCTTCCAGTCAGGGAAACAGACCCTGGCGGAGAGGCCATTCCACGCCTCTGCTAGGAGGAAGTGCTGGCCCTGGAGGGCTGAGTGCAGGGAGGAGATGAAAGTGCTGCCCTCAGGAAACGCCCTGGAAGGCCTTTCCATGAGTGCAAGAAAAAGTCCCCACTCACACGACTGCCCCTTCCCCTTCCGTGCCCTCTTGAAAGGCCTCTGAGAGGTGCCGCTTGTCTGGGCTCCACTGCACCGCACGTCTGGGTGTGAAGGAAGCCTCTGTCACAGGCGGTGCGAAGTCGGCAGCTGACTTATCTCCCTGAGCCTCGGTTTCCCTGTCTATAAAATGGGCATGAGGAATATTATTCGGCCTTAAAAAGGAAGGAAGTTCTGACGCACGTGACAACACAGATGAACCTGAGGCTATTAAGTAAAATAAGCCAGACACAGAAGGACAAATATTGTGTGATTCTATGGATATGAAGTACCTAGAGTTCTCAGGTTGATAGAAACAGAAAGTAGAATGGTGATTGTCAGGGACTGAGGGGAAGTCATTGTTTGATACGGACAGGGATTTGGTTTTGCGAGATGAAAAGCGCTCTAGTGATGGGGGTGGTGATGGTTGCACGACAATGTGAACGTACTTAATGCTACAGAACTATACGCCTGAAAGCAGGTGAATTTTTCATTGTATGTATTTTACCACCATAAAACAAATATGAGAAAAAAAAACAGGCACCAAAACAATGTGCTCCTCCTGGGCTTGTGAGACTTCTGGGCTTGGCTTTTAGTCGTCAGTGTCAGAATGAGGAGCTGCTGTAACTGGGGTGGGGGGGCTTAGGTGACTCACCCTGAGTCACCCAGCTCCTGGGGCGGGTCCCTGCACTGGCACTCCCTACCTGTGGGGGATCTGTCGCCTCCTCCAGGGCCTTCGGGGTTGAGCAACTTCCTCCCTTTGCCGCTGCAGCCTGGTGAGCCCCAGTGCATCTGAAACTGAGGCTTCCCCGCCCCCCTGCTGCACCCTGCGGCCCGTGCCCACTTTGGCCCTATCCCCCTCTCAGGCGCTCTCTTGAGACCCTCTGAGTTTATTGAGCACCCACTGTGTGCTGAAGACTCCTATCCCTAAGGAGCACTTCGTCTCTCCCAGGTGACAGGAGGTCGAAGAGAGTTGACACCAGCCAAAACTGCCTGCCCCTCTCTGTAGAGTGCTGTAGCAGCATGCAACCCCATGGGCTCTTCCCGGCAGCCCCGTGAGGCTACCTGCCACTGTGTCTGTGCAGAGCCCGAGGCTGGAAGCCCGTGAGGAGCTTGCCCACGGCCCACCTTCTTGGAGTGCTTCCCAGCAGGAAGCTGGCATCCATCTCTCCTGCTGTAGCCACAGCCACTTCTGCCCACACACGGGTCCAGTTATTCTGTCCCTCCCACTCCTTCCCACGCGCTCACTGGACCGAGAGGCCCTGAGGTGGGAGACACAGCTTGGTCACTTTTATTGCCCCTACAGGACCAAGCCAGGGGCTGAGCAGGGTTCAGGATGTGCTTCGAGACCAGGTGTTGGGGGTGTAGTCAGGGTAAGAGCCAGGCATGCCAGGACAGAACGGACCGGGCTGTTTCCCGCCTCTCTTAGCCTTGAGTTTCCTCACCTGGAAACGAAGTGGTGAACAATTCCCACAGAACCTGGAGTCAGGAAGGCAACATGCGCAAAGCTCGGACAGCAGGGCCCAGAGGCACCGCCTCCCTGTGAGACTGGGTGTTCTCCAGGCTCCTGACACACCACTCCCCCTCCGAAACTGAGGTTGCGACCACATCCTGCCCCTGTGGTAAACTGCCCCCAGCCTCCATGCTTGGCATCCTGCCGTGGCGCACTCATTCCAGACTCTCCAGGGCAGGCCGTCACAGGCCCTCAGGCCCTCTCCTTCCCCCACCTCCCTTCCGGTCCTCAGATGTGGGGCGCCTGCCTGGATGTGGACTTGGGGAGCCAGGAAGGGAGGGACGAGTGTCTGGGTGTCTCTCGGCTGGACGCCAGCCGCGTGATTCAGCCGGCCCTCCCCTGGAGTGCCACTTTCCCAGGTGTGTGGGTGGTGTGAGGAGCCAGCTGCTCATTAGAGGGCCCAGGCCTTCCTGTGGGGTGGGGGCGCTGCCCCTGGCCTGTGCATCCTGGCCTCACCAGGAGAGCCGACCCTGGGTCGGAGCCACCCCAGGGCAGTGGTGGTGTCTGCTGGCCCTGCGGTGACCTGAGCTCTGGGAACCCCGGGGAGCGGGGAAGCTGCATTCTGCAGCTCACTCCACTTCTCTGGTACCACTGGCTTGGGGGCCTCTGGGCAAGTGGACAGCAAGGCCACACGGTGGGGAGGTGGGGGGATAGGCCGGGCCTTGGCCTCAGCTCTGCCCTCAGTAGCAGAGTGACGTTGGGCAGGTGACTTCAGCTCTCTGAGCCTTAGTTTTCCCCATCTGTGGAATGGGGCCCAAGATAGGTCTTACATGTAGGCATCGAAGGGGACTCCATGGTGAAGACTAGCCTGGTGCCTGACACACATTCATCTCAAGAAGCCGGATTCCCTCACAGGGTCCTGGTTTGCTTTTCTCCTGTCCTCTCTGCCCATCCCACAGTGCCCGGGAAGGGCGGGAAGGGCAGTTTGAGACCCTGCTTTATGAAGAGTTCATTACTATTGTCACTTGTATTATCAAAAATATAGGTGGCCCAGTCCCATAACCTGGGCACCCTTGTTCCTCTCCCAAGAGAAACAGACCCATTTGTCAAAACACAGGTATTTAAACATTGGTTTAAAATCTAGGTTAGAAAATAGGGTGTAAAGTAAAGTCACAATTTGATTTAAAAATATATACATACAGAAAGGACTGGAAGATTATTACTCATTGAAAAATTAATGGCGAGTAACCCTAGGTAGTGTTTTTACAGAGGATTGCAATTTTGTCCTTATGCTTTTTAAGGACAAAAAAATTTCCCAGGCGTTATTCTGTGAACATCTAGTACCTTTTCTATCTCGTGACATCTTACAGACAGTGCTCTATAAGAGCAATGCACCTTGGCAGGGCCACCACGGACGGACGGATCCCTTCCCCACGTTCATGTTATTGCACATCTCCTGCATGTCACTGGCTAGGTTTCCTGAAGGTGGCTTCTTATCCAGCGTTTCCCAAACTTGGCCAATCATTAGTGTCACTGAAGTCACATGTTAAAAAATCAGATTCTCCGGCTCTACCTGACACCTGTCGAACTGAACTCTCCGGGGGGAGGAGCTGCTGCTGCCCGTTTTTAATTTCCTTACGCACACGTGGATGCACACAGCCAGGGGTGATTTCACATAAATACATACTTGTGATTGTGTCATCCAGCTTCAGGCGGAGAACGGTCCTGTTCTCTTGTCCTTTCCCTCGGCCACCTCCCCACGGAGCCTGTCATTACACCTACCGTGTGTGTGTGTCCTTCGGTTTCCCCCAGCGCTCCCAGAATCCTGTATGGACATAACTACATGCACTCACGTGGGAGTTGATAATCCTGTTTGTTTTACAAAAGTGAGTTCATGTTAAGTCCTTCCTTCTGCATTTGGCTTTTCTCACACTTCACAGAAGTCCTTTCAGGTCACCGGCACAGCTTTGTGGCAGCTGGTTTCGCGTGAACTGGGCATTTTCAATAAGCCCCCTGGTCAGCCTGATCGTTAAGAGGCTGGGGTCTAGATAGGAATTCCTGAATGCTCTTGCTGGAATGCGGGGGGCCTCTGTCAGGCCGAACTGGCGATCTGTCAGCGTGGGCCCTGACCTTGTGCTGTCCTCCTGTCTGTTAAATGGGGAGGGTGTCTGCCTTCCCTCACAGCTGGTGGCCACATGGTTTCTAGAGAAAGGCCGATTTTGAGGGCCACCCGTGAGTGGCAAAGCTGACTCCCAGGTAGACTTGAGGTGGAATTTTAGACATGTCCACTGTCCCCTTCCTCTGACACCCTGGATCCCAGAAAGCCAGGCCACCCTGCGGTAACCCCCGTCCTGTGGGTCCCTTTCAGGTTGAACCATGATTCCGGTGACAGAGCTCCGCTACTTTGCGGACACGCAGCCAGCGTACCGGATCCTGAAACCGTGGTGGGACGTGTTCACCGACTACATCTCCATCGTCATGCTGATGATCGCGGTCTTTGGGGGCACGCTGCAGGTCACCCAGGACAAGATGATCTGCCTGCCTTGTAAGTGGGTCACCAAGGATTCCTGCAACGACTCGTTCCGGGGCTGGGTGGCCCCTGGCCCAGAGCCCACCTACCCCAACTCCACGATCCTGTCCGCTCCTGACACGGGCCCCACAGGCATCAAATACGACCTGGATCGGCACCAGTACAACTACGTGGATGCCGTGTGCTACGAGAACCGCCTGCACTGGTTTGCCAAGTACTTCCCCTACCTGGTGCTTCTGCACACGCTCATCTTCCTGGCCTGCAGCAACTTCTGGTTCAAGTTCCCGCGCACCAGCTCGAAGCTGGAGCACTTTGTGTCTATCCTGCTCAAGTGCTTCGACTCGCCCTGGACCACGCGGGCCCTGTCGGAGACAGTGGTGGAGGAGAGCGACCCCAAGCCGGCCTTCAGCAAGATGAATGGCTCCATGGACAAGAAGTCATCCACAGTCAGCGAGGACGTTGAGGCCACCGTGCCCATGCTGCAGCGGACCAAGTCTCGGATCGAGCAGGGCATCGTGGACCGCTCGGAGACGGGCGTGTTGGACAAGAAGGAGGGGGAGCAGGCCAAGGCGCTGTTTGAGAAAGTGAAGAAGTTCCGGACCCATGTGGAGGAGGGGGACATCGTGTACCGCCTCTACATGCGGCAGACCATCATCAAGGTCATCAAGTTCATCCTCATCATCTGCTACACTGTCTACTACGTGCACAACATCAAGTTCGACGTGGACTGCACCGTGGACATCGAGAGCCTGACGGGCTACCGCACCTACCGGTGTGCCCACCCCCTGGCTACGCTTTTCAAGATCCTAGCGTCCTTCTACATCAGCCTGGTCATCTTCTATGGCCTCATCTGCATGTACACACTGTGGTGGATGCTGCGGCGCTCCCTCAAGAAGTACTCGTTCGAGTCCATCCGCGAGGAGAGCAGCTACAGCGACATCCCCGACGTCAAGAACGACTTTGCCTTCATGCTGCACCTCATCGATCAGTATGACCCGCTCTACTCGAAGCGCTTTGCCGTCTTCCTGTCGGAGGTGAGTGAGAATAAGCTGCGGCAGCTGAACCTCAACAACGAGTGGACACTGGACAAGCTGCGGCAGCGGCTCACCAAGAACGCGCAGGACAAGCTGGAGCTGCACCTCTTCATGCTCAGCGGCATCCCCGACACCGTGTTCGACCTGGTCGAGCTGGAGGTGCTGAAGCTTGAGCTGATCCCAGACGTGACCATCCCGCCCAGCATCGCCCAGCTCACGGGACTCAAGGAGCTGTGGCTGTACCACACGGCGGCCAAGATCGAGGCGCCCGCCCTGGCCTTCCTGCGCGAGAACCTGCGGGCTCTGCACATTAAGTTCACGGACATCAAGGAGATCCCGCTGTGGATCTATAGCCTGAAGACGCTGGAGGAGCTGCACCTGACGGGCAACCTGAGCGCCGAGAACAACCGCTACATCGTCATCGACGGGCTGCGCGAGCTCAAGCGCCTCAAGGTGCTGCGGCTCAAGAGCAACCTGAGCAAGCTGCCGCAGGTGGTCACGGACGTGGGCGTGCACCTGCAGAAGCTGTCCATCAACAATGAGGGCACCAAGCTCATCGTCCTCAACAGCCTCAAGAAGATGGTGAACCTGACAGAGCTGGAGCTGATCCGCTGCGACCTGGAGCGGATCCCCCACTCCATCTTCAGCCTCCACAACCTACAGGAGATCGACCTCAAGGACAACAACCTCAAGACCATCGAGGAGATCATCAGCTTCCAGCACCTGCACCGCCTCACCTGCCTTAAGCTGTGGTACAACCACATCGCCTACATCCCCATCCAGATCGGCAACCTCACCAACCTCGAGCGCCTGTACCTGAACCGCAACAAGATCGAGAAGATCCCCCCCCAGCTCTTCTACTGCCGCAAGCTGCGCTACCTGGACCTCAGCCACAACAACCTGACCTTCCTCCCCGCCGACATTGGCCTCCTACAGAACCTCCAGAATCTGGCTGTCACGGCCAACCGGGTGAGTGGCCCAGCCGTGGCTCCACACGCAGGCTGGAGGGTGGGCAGGCTGGTTGGCCGGCCATGGCTCGGGGTGGGGGTGCTCAGGAGGCCCACTGTCTCGGGACCTCACCTCTGGTCCCCAGAATTGCCCAGAAGGAGCTTGTTAAAGTACAGATTTCCCTGGGCCCCTGAATCAGGGTGTCGGGCTGGGAGCCTGTCTCCTCCACAGAATGCTGCAGGGTTCTGCCAGGAGGGGTGGTGTTGTCAGGTGGGGCCTGTCCCCAAGGTCCCCTAACAGGGGTTCCTCGTGGGCAGGGATGTGCAGGGGCAGGAGGTCCAAGGCCTGTGGTCCTCTCATTCTCCTGGGGCTGGGTTAGGGGAGGTGGGACTTAGCCTGGAGCTGGCAGTACCTTTTTCAGCTTGTCCAGGGCCAGATTTAGAGCTGGAGGACCAATCTGGGTTCACTGGGGACAGACACTGTGTGGAGGCTGCCGCCCACCGAGGTGGAGCCAAACCGTCTCCACAACTCCTAGTACCGCTCTCTCCCTACTCCCCTCTGCGTTTGGGGGTGGTGGAGAGCAGAGTTAGACTTAGTTGGAGCTGCATTATCTCTGGAGAGGAAATCGTTGCAAACCGTTGAGGACTGGCAGTGTGGGAGGCCACACCCTAGAGGCACCCTCGAGACTGTTGGCGGTCCCTACGTGGTGGTGCCTGTGCACCAGCCCTTAGCCTGGCCTGGAAAAGCCCCCACCCAAGGGCCTGTTCACAGAGGCAGGCGGGTGGAGTTGAGAGAGGGTGTTCCTGTGGCTTTGTGGTCTGGCCTCTGCAGTGGAGACAAAGCCACAGCTGCTGGCGAGACCTGCCTCTGCCCACCCCTGCTGGGGACCTGCAGGGAGATTGACATTGGAAGAAACGGGTCT